TAACAAGGTGTCCGGGCTTGCGTCCGACTAGATCCTTGTCCCTGAACCTCCGGCCCCTCAGCTGCTCAGGGAGGTAAATCGCAGAATGTGCCCTTGTTGACTCTCAGGTTCCCACAACTCATTTGGACTCCTTCCACAAAGAGAGCTCTCCTCAGTGGGCGTTTGTTCACACCAATGTAACATCCTATTTATATATACGTAATGTAACATCCACCAACCCAAAAGCCAAAAACGTCTCCAGTCAAAACGGTAAGAATTCAAAGATTTATTAAATCAATCTTATGGCCTCTATCAATTCGTCAGTCACACTTTAACTTAAATATGAATTTGACATTTTTTTATTAATTAATTAATTTAATAATGAAATTCAATTTGATAACGTGTAACTGTAACCGTAACCGTACCACATTGTTTTAAAATATTATTCTTATTTATATTATATATATTAATAAAATATTACAAGATAACCATTTTCTACAGTAACCATCATTGCCTTTTTTATTTTATACTAGTCTTTGCCCGTACAATGCACGGGTTAAGATATTTTAAAGGTAATGTTAGTGCGTTACATTTGTTAAATTCTCATGAATTATGTCATCAACTCAATGTTTGCTATGGCAATATTGGGATGAAATTTCCCTTATTGAGCATTCAAAGAAACTTCATGATTCTAGAATAGAAGAAATCCTTTTGCATGTGTATATATATATATATATATATATATATATATATATATTCACATGTGGAGACTACCCAAATAGGACACAGAGACAGAAACCAAAAAGGTAAAAAATCTAAAGATGATACAAATCTTTTAATATTTATACCCCTGTGTAGGAGCAAAAAGTAAGACAAATAAATAAAGGAAGAAACATTGAGCAAACACATGGAAGTACGATAAAGAATACAATATCTTCACAGGTTTCCAAATTTGTACAACAAGGATTACTTCTTTTTTCGACTCTGTTGTTCTGATGGAGAGCTTGTGGGCTTTGTTTTTTTGCCAACACGCATACAAAGAGATATATGTTAAGTTCAAAAGGAAGACGATGGAAAATAAATTAGACTCTTGAAAATCAGTACCTTGATTATTAAGATAAATCAGATGAATTTACTTGTTCTTTAAGTCATGGAAAATGTACCCTTACAAGTTCAATATAACTATTATTTTGCAACTCATATTTCTCTTTTAAAAAGTTCATTCGATTAAAGTTAAGCTACTACAAGTGTAAAATGGCAGGAAATTAGATTTAATATACCTTCTTGCATTTCAAGTCACTGTCACTGGTCTTTGGACATCCAATAACCATATTTTTTAGATTTTTGCTCCTGTAATAACACAAAAATGAAAGCTTGGAACCAAGGCCATAGTATATACGTTAGGAAATCAATATATTTAACGATATACCATTATAAAAGACCTAGGTGTTGTCGGTAATTCGATTAACACAATCATAAGAACAAATAAAATAAGCAGGAAAAAAAATTGAAAATAGAAGATGAAGCGAGGTATGCCAAAGCAAATCTCCTTAAGATAGATTTCGCCCCCCAATGAAGTGCAAACGGGATTATGGACATCTGTCTCCCAAGATACAACGCTCCTTCCAAAGTCAATACTGCACAATACCAACATTGTCGGTCGAACCAATGAAAGATCGTACTTGAACGGAATAACTACAAAAATATAAGAGATTTTTTTTTAGAGCAAAATATGGAGAGAGAATAATTTAGAAATCAATTGAATTTGTAATTGATTTGGTGTGTCAAAAAACGAATCTGGAGGTCTCTATTTATAGAGATTGAAGTGTCTCATGGAATATGTGTGTGACATTTCAAGAACTGGTGCACCACTTGGTTTGATTCGTCTTAGCCATTGGATCGCTCTATTTTCATGATCTGACGGCTCAGATTAAACCATGAAGTGAAGTGTCCATTCATCATGCCTATTCACCAATTTCTGAACAGTCACAGCCATGTGGATGCCACGCGTACATCTAACCGTCACGCAGGACGAAGGGACGCAACCTACCACTCGTGCGCCACCTAGAATGCCAACTCACCGAGCCTTGTGCTGCCACGTCATCGAACCACGAGTCCATTTCCGAAAACTATAAGGCTCCCCAGCTCCTCGCGACGATGCGTACCTGCGAAGTGCGCCTCTAAAGTGCCAAATGCGTACTTTGCGACGTGCGCGTGCGCGTGCCGAGACCGGGTTTGGGGAGCGGTGCTAGTGGTGCGAAGCACCACTCTAGTGGTGACTAGCCTTCGGCTAGCTAAAGTTAGTCAAGTGGTAGGTAACTTATTAAATTATATATTATTCACACAACCCACTATATAAACAAGACAATTTTCTTGTAAACTTTCGATGTGGGACTCATTTCCATATAAAAACACTTAAAATGGGTTTATCAACATATGGACCTATATTGGAGACTTTTCCAATTCACCCAAATTAATTGTAATGACTCACATCATTAAATATTACATTTAATATTTAAACCCAAATCAAATTCAATTAATTCCAACACTAGGTTCATAAAGAAGATTTTAGAGACAAAAAAATGAGTCAGGGTGATTACAATTTCTTAAGACAATAAAATACTTACCTTAAGTTTTCGCATTTATATTTGTGCAATCTCCACTAATTACAAGAAGCCCATCTAGATCAAGCTTAGGTGCTGTTTTTTCAGCTTGCTTAAACTAAAATGAGTTCACGTAACGTTGCCAATGATCTAAAGTATTAGAACAGAGAGAGGCAGACTAAATCTAACAATATGGTATGGTTGTCAATGATCTAGCTTCATTGGATCTTCCAGAAAATGTAGAGATAAATTAGATGGAGCAAAAACAATTATGCGATAAATCCCAAATTATTAGAATAAGGGTTAATTGTTTGTTGTTTAAAAAAGTATTTGCCAAAACTTTCAATTTGAGTACTATTAAGCAACAAAAAGCTTTAACGTTTTGTTGGATGGTAAAATATATCGGACAAAATGTTGGAATTTAAATTATACAAGTTATGAGCAACAAACCTCGTTATGTGCACTCCAAAGCTTCTATGTACTCCAATCTCCAGAGAACTTGATGCAAATAAATGCTCTATTTGCCAAATATTGAAACATAAATGACACTTGAGCCAATAATAAAACAATAATTAAATAAGAAAGAACATTCATTTAGGCACTGATAAATAGATCCACCATAAAAAGTACCCAGGAAAATTGAGAAACGATAAAGAACTGTAGTCTGACTAATTATGCCTCGAGCTATAAAAGTAAACTAATTGTAGATTTGAATCCACGAAGAGGTATTCATATTTGTGATATTTGATAGCAGGATGCACATCTTAGATAGCATTCATAAAAAAAATAAAAAATAAAAAATTGGACAAAGTCTTTGTTAACGTAACAACTGGCACAAAAATTTACACACCCAAAAATTTACTTTCATGTAAATATACCACCACTTAATTTAAGAACTGCAAAAATTTATTTTGCCAACATAAACATATTCAAATTCAGATTCTTTTGGGTAAGAAGATATATGTTGACTTCAATTGTTGATGAAGCTTAGTGAATTGATGAAGGTTAAGGAAAGGATTAAGGAAAGCTTCAGAGGGTTACTGGGTTAAGGAAAGGATTAAGGAAAGCTTCAGCCATGAATTTTTTATTACTGGGTTCGATCCTCTCGTTTCAATAAAATAAAAATAACCTAAGAATTGGACTACGAACAATAAAATGCAAATTTCATGACGTATTAATTCTCTAGCTTCTTGATGCATATTGAGATAACTCGTGTAAAAAAACACTGGTACTAAAACTCGAGTTTCAATGTTTTCTTTTCATTATATATTCAATCCTAATACAAATATGCAATCAATAAATAAAAAAAAAATATATAAGAGAAATATCACTACTAAAAGTAAACAATAGCACCAAAGAGTGCAACACCAATTTATGTCATTGGAGTACCGAAGGAATACTAATAGAATGTGTTGGATTAGATAATTTTGTAACAATGATCAGTCTACTCTTATCTAATTCAACCCCTTCGTCCTTTATTGACTCCTCCACCTTAAAATATTTGACATGAGTTTTTGCCCATTTTTTAACCTCAATGCCTTGTTTCTAGCTAGCCTAGACTGGGAATGAGCAACATTTACTGATCTTTCCTTTGGAGACCCTGAAATTGGATGAAATAGAACTACCTTTATACGCTCTTCTAAGAATCTCCCTCTTAGCTCAGAAATTCTGCAAATTTTTTTTATCTTTTTTTATCATTTTTACCAATTCAATGGAGGACTTTTGTGCCCAAAATAACCCAATTATACAGAAAATTCTCCAAGAATATCAGCTTGAGCTTGTAAAATACCCAAATAGAAGTGCTTTGATTCAATCACCTTGTATGTTTTTTCTTCGAATCTCTCTCTTAACCCCAAAATCGTTAAATTAGCTATCTTTTTACCACATCAATGGAGGCTTTTTGATGCCATAAATAACCCAATTATGCAAAATAAATAAATAAATGAAAATAAAAATAAAATCTCCAAGAATATTAGCTTCTACTTGCAAAAAACCAAACAGAAGTACATCAATTTCACCAAATTGAATTTTTTTTTTTTTCAAACTCTTGATCTCTATTTATAATAAATCTACTCTATCAAATCCAGTAACGGAAGAACTATTATAAGACAGATTTTAAACCAAATTTCAGGTTTTGACCCTTGAGAATCCTTCGAAAACAAAACTTCCCACAACCAACTGAAATTGTATCTTCAACACTTGCCATTAATGCCAAACAATTTTTTCCTCAAAATTCAGAACTTTTTGCAAACTACTTAAGAGAGACTACATATCCATAATCAAATACACAAAACTATAACGTTTGAGCTTAACCAAGGTTTGACATTCACACACTTTCACATTTAGGCACATAATCAAACAACTTACGTCGCTCTTAAAATTTATCGATTTTCAAGCGAAAATAAGTCATAGAGATAAAATTAATTTTTTACCTTAGCAAAACCTTTCACAGTACCAGTCTGGGTCCCATAAAAATGGTGATTTTCATCTTTTCATCGTCGACATCCTGAAACTCCACCAACGCCTTGCGCACCATTGATTTCGACAGCGAAACCACCGCCTTCTAGGCAGATCTGGGAGCACAGTGCCACATGAGAATTACAACACACCCAATAAGCACTGCCACAGAGGTTGTCAGCACCATCATCAAGTCCTGTTCTCAGCAATATCGTCACCATTGAAGTCGAAACCATCTCTCGCCTTTTCCCCGACTCTGTTATCTTCTTCTCTTCTCTCAGACCTGTAATATTCTGTCCCTCGACCATAGTTGCATCACAAATGTTTTCTTAGCCATATTTTCAAAAGTTAAAAAATATTTTCTATCAAAAAAAATAACAATCAAATATTCTAAGTAAGAATTTAAGTGGAAAAGTAATCAAACACACTACTTTGAAAAAGTTTTGGTAATGAGATATTTTGTATTCATACGTAAAAAACCATTAAACCCTCAATTTGAAAATAGGATTGAACGGTAAAATGGGGAAGCAAAATACTTCATAAATAAACAGTAAATGGTGGATTCACTCTTTTAAGTGAGGTAAGGATATAAAATATTATAATAATACACTTTCTTTCTTATTAAATAATTCAAACACAACTAGTACAAAAATATTTTTTTTCTTGATTCCAAATTAATTTATTTAATATGAGCTACAAATTGAGTATAATATTTGATATATTTCATCAACTTCTAAAATATTTAAAAAATCGACCCAAATAACTTATGATAAATTCTAAAACGTACACGTAAGCAAAATAATTTATTTATGCAAATAAGTGAATCGCGTTTATCAATTCAACTTTTAGATTTTAGCGTGACGATAAAATTGACGTGGACTATTTCATTTGCTAAATAGTCAACATTAATTTTAAGCCATAAAAAAATTCCAGGTTGTTACATTTGACATCCCTAGCCACTGATGCCACCGAAATGTCACTGCCACCTTTGCCACCACCTCTACCTCCAACCAATCATATGGACATGCTTAGAGATACAATGCCACCATCATCACACCTTTACTACCACCTTACATCACAAAAACACATAGATGCACAACCCAAGATGCAGCAACGTACCTTGCTTAGCATAGATCGCACAACCAAAGATGCTAATATATTTAATCGAAGCTTTGCTCCAAAACAGACCGCCTAAACTCCTCCTTACCATACAGCTACAGCAACCACATTTCATCTACCCGTACATTCACTATGACAAGCAACCATAGTAAACAACAAATGTCGCAAATCATGACCTCCCACCACTCAACATCAAGTTTTACAATAAATCGCTATTATAGTCGTCAGGCTTCATCTTCATTGTTCTCTCTTCTAGAGCTATTACTCATTAGGATTTGAGGTTCCATCTTAAAATGTCAACCTTGTTAAAAGAAGTAGGTACTACTTATTAAGATTTGAGGTTCCATCTTAAAAAATCAACCTTGTTAAAAGAAGTAGCACAATACCTTATTAGTTGGTCCATGTTTTCATCTATATTTGATTTGAGATTATATCCCTTAACATACCCCACAAGATGGTGGCTCATTTAAGCAGACCAATTTTCAAATTCGTGTGCTTATTTTTGAGTCTTAATCGAATTGAATGACTTGTTAGAGTTTAATGGGCTCTGATACCATGTTAAGATTTAGAATTACATCTTAAAATGTCAATCTCGTTAAGAGGAGTAGCCCAAAACCTTAGAAGTTGATATATATTGTCATCTTTATCCGATGTGAGATTATATCTCTTAACACTGCATTCCTTTTACTCAACCACCACCACTTCTACAACAATAGGTGACACCGAAACAGATATGTTTCTATAGCACACACATGAGAGAGTTAAAGGCAACTTCAATTCAACGGGAGAATAAACAGTGATAGACAGGTGGCAGACGATGGGCGACAGTGACCTTCGATGGTGTAGGTAAAGATGGGGATGGATTTGGAAAGAATTGAATTAAATGATAAGGTGGGGTGGCTAAAGGGAAGGTAGAATGTAATATATACCTAATTTTTGAAAAAATAAACTTAAATTTTGATTTTTGAAATATAAAGATAAAATATAGAGAGGTCTGTAAGATTCTCTAAATTATTTGTTGTAGTTCAAAACTGGGAAATGGTAGGCCCAGGCTCGCCTTATTTTCACCGATAGAGTTAGCCCTCATTTGGATTTCAATTTTCAAAATTCATTTTTCTCTCTTTTCTTTTCAACCACATTCTCTATAAAATAATATTACTCGTGGATCCAAAAAATTTCCTTCTTTTTAAATCACGTACTTAATCACTAGTCCAAAATAAAATTGTTTTCAAATTTTAAATTTAGTGGAGCGCAAACAAGGGCTTAGTATTTGGGTTCAAATCAATTAAAATGAAGACGTATATGGTGGAAATGGGAAAAGTTCGCAACTCAGGTATTAATTATGAGCCACTTCAATTTTCAGGCTATAAGTTTCAAAATTCAAAAATCAAGTGATCAATAAATAATTAAATACACTGAGATCACAATTATACAGTTAATAGTCACATGTATGTCTTTATAAATCACAAACTTGTTTATTGGTAACATATTATCAAATTAACTAGTCACAAATTATTTCACACTCATACAACAAAAAATTTATAGGTTATAGTTTATTTGCCGATCACAAATTATAAGACTAACAGGTCATTGATTACTTTTCAATCATAAATTATCAAATTTTAAAGGTCACAAATTAACCAAAAACTTGGTCACAAATCAACCAACCCATCCCGCACCACTAGATCCAAACAACTCGTTGCGGCACCAAAAAAATCAGATCCTAAATATTGTAAATCAGAAAACTACCGACCAAAAACCATCAACAAACCACACCACCGCAATCGCCGTCACCACCACTAGAACCACCAATGCTAGCACCACCAGAACCTCCACCAATGCCAACACCATGACCAAGACCATCACCACCGCCACCATCTAAACATCATCATCACTACCAACACCATCGCAGCCACATTATCACCACCTACACCACAACCACCCACCAACAACCACCCTAGAACTCTAGATTAGAATAGAAAGAAACCACTCCCAAAAATCATCTCAAAACCATGACCATCATCCTTCACGGTAGAAACGACATAAATCGCATATCGTCGACGTCGTTCATCCACATATCGCGTTGCCATCGCCAAACAGAGATTTCATCACTAAAGCCTATCATCGCATCATCCCTGAAGTCATCACTGCACAGCAACATCGTGAACGAGTCACTCTAAACGGCATCGCGCCGCTCATCGACGTCACGCTAGCGATGCTCGGTGATTGGGGAATCTCGATTTAGGGTTTCAAATGAAATTGGATTGTATGGGGGTGTGGTGGGTTAATTTTATAATACCTGATTTTTATTAAATAAATCTTATATCTTATTTTTGAGTTGTCATCTTTAAAAACAAGTTGGTGAGTAATTTCATCCGAGGAAATAGCAATTCCTTAGTGGATCGAATCAGACTCGTAAAATTTTGTGCTGAATTGGCACAGCCCATTTTTTGGCAGTCTATGCTGGGGTTCGTATTGAGGCCTACAACCCATCATTTTAGGCCCAATCTGTGCAAGTTGCATTGGGCCAAATTCTTGCACACGTTGTGCCTAAAATGAGGGTTGTACAGACCAACTTTCAATGGGCCAAGTTCCTGTAAAAGAAGGATAAATTCTAGATCTCTCATTGACCAAAAATGACCTTATTGGCTTACAAAGAAGGATCATCCTATCTAGAGAGACTTTGTGGTTCACTGTTCATTTTTGTAACTCTTTTTGACTCACTATTCCCAAACTGATTTTGTACTATTCATTACGTTTATCCCAGGATTATTATATCATAAAAACAAAAAGAAATATTTTTTATCATGGATATTTTTTCCCAATTTTAAGTTCTTCTCTTTCCGTGATAAAATTTATTTTTCCAATTTTAATTAATAATACTTACATATTTTTTGTTCAAAAAGGTATTTATATAATGAGTAAAACAAATTAAAAAAATTAAAAAAATTCTAATAGATAGAGATTTTCTCCATAACATGGAGAGATTTTCTCCGTGTTATGGAGGAAAAACTCTCCATATCTGTGTTATGGAGAGTTTTTCTCCATAACACAGAGATGTCAACTCTCCATAACACGGACTCCACTTTACCCTCTTTCTTTCTTTCTTTCTTTTTTTTTTTTATTAGTTTTGTTCATAATATAAATATTTTTCTTTTTGATTTAAAATTCTTTTTAATTCCTTTACGAGGAAAAGAAATTTTAAAACAATTTTTTAAGACTTTCTATTAAAAATATGTTCTACTGTTCATTACGTTTATCCCAATATTATTATCATAAAAAAACAAAAAGAATTATTTTTTTATCATAGATATTTTTTCCCAATTTTAAGTTCTTCTCTTTCCGTGATAAAATTTATTTTTCCAATTTTAATTAAATAATATTTATAAATTTTTGGTTCAAAAAAAGTATTTATCTAATGAGTAAAACAAATTAAAAAAATAAAAAAAAAGATTATAATAGATGGAGAGTTTTCTCCATATCACGGAAATGTCAACATTTATTTAATTGTTGTAATTTCCTTTTGTTTAGATCCTACATTTTGTGATTATTTACTTAGAATTGGAGATGGAATAGAAAAAGAACATACTTGTAAGTGTATTATGCTCCTGGATAATATAACTCTACCATTCGAAAATGAGATCACATCTTTAAAAAATTTGATGCATCATGTTTTTTCAAATATAGAAGTATATGCTGAAAATTTACATAATATGGCAAATAGAGTTATTCTTACGCCTACAAATGAATATGTTGACTACATCAATCAAATTTTACTTGAACAAATTCCTGGTGAGAATTTTACATATTATAGTTTTGATGAAGCAATTGACAAAACAGAACAAACTCTGCAAAAAAAAATAAAATTAAATACTTTAACACCGAACGGTATTCCACCACATGAATTAAAATTCAAAGTAGACTGTCCTGTAATATTATTACGGAATATAAATCTTTCTGAAGGGCTATGCAATTGAACACGTCTTACTTGTCGAAAATTTGAGAAAAATGTAATCCTTGCTGAAATCAAAACTGATGAATATTACGGAAAGTATGTTTTCTTACCAAGGGTCCCTTTTGTACCTCTTAAAAGTGATCGAAACTCAATTCCTTTTAAGAGAACTCAATTTCCAATTAGGTAGTGTTTTACAATGACAATAAATAAAGCACAAGGTCAAAAACTTGATTTTGTCGGTTTATATCTTTTAGAACTAGTTTTTTGTCATGGTCAGCTATATGTAGCATTATCAAAAGTAAAAACAAGCACGTTTCTAAAAGTTCTGCTAAAATCATCAAACATGGACAGCTCACATAACAGATGTATTAAAAATGTTGTA